TCAACCATTTCAAAACACCAAAATGCATGAACAAGAAATTTTTACAGCCAAAACAAGAAAATAAGAATTTACTAAGATACAAAACATAGTATTTCTAATGATCTGTCCATCCAAATATATAGTACAAAGTCCCAAAAGAGTATTTGCTAGACACTTTACATATTTTGGTCAGTGATAACTTGAAATCTTTTTTCTCTTTACAAAATTCACCAACAATAGTATATGGTCCATACTTATCCAAGTTTGAACACAAAAATGCTAGATTATCAGCATATAGCATCCAAAATGCACATATAGTAATAAATAGGTACCATGTCTCAAAAACAATGTAGCCCACTCTTTCAAAGTTTTTCAAGAGTTGTTTACTTCAGTCATCAATTTGCTCAAAAGCTCCAATTTGATGGGATAGCAAAAAATGCTCTCATGTTTGCATGGCTCTTAATCAAGAATAGAAATGCATCCAGTTGAAGTGATCCTCGAACTCCAATAATTTTTTAATTCAGCAAATACTTCCTCCTCGGTGTAGCAATGTGGCCTAGTTCTCTCTACAATGGCTATTCCCTTCTCTGCAATGGCATTTCCCTCCTTGATTGCTTGGGCCACATTATTAATTCCAATATTGATGCTTTAAATATGCCTATCCATCACATCTAACATACTTGCCTTTCGTTTGGAACTTTTCGACGATGTAGCTATTTGTGAGGTAGCTTGAAACGGTGTAGAAACAGGAGAAATTGGCTCAAAGTTCAAGCTAAATTCATCAACTCCATCATTAAGGACTATTGGATTATCATTTTCCTTGTTTTCCCATTGACGAGCTTTTTCTCTTGCGCTCACAGCTCCTTCTCCTGTAGCTCTATCTTTTGCAAAGAGATCATATAACTTAGCATAGTGACAGATCTTATTATGCCTCCATCTTGCAACACTTGGTTTTGCCTATGAAAAAAAAAAAAAAAGTACATGTAGAAATATATGCAACTGCAACCATATTACAACTAGCAAAAGGTTATTAATATTACCTGTATAAGCTCTTTGCACACTTCATTATCGGCTTCCCATAGTTGTGTCTTCGGATTCCATGGAAATACACTCATAGTTAAGCCATTGAAAATTTCATGACATGCAAAAAAATTACTTTTGAGAGTTTTCAGGCAATTTTTCACATTATCCTTCACAAATGGAAATTTAAGTTTTTCATTCAGTGTTTTCAAGACATTGTTAAAAGCAATGTATGACCATGTGTCATTGGGTCTATTGCCTTTCAATTGGTCTCCTAACAAAGCATCAAGCAAAACTTCGTTCCAATATTCATTCCATGTTACATTATCCTTCTTAATATTGTCAATTGTGTTGTTCTTTTTTTGTTCTTTCCCATGAGACACTGCATGTTAAAAAAAAGATATGTTCAACAAAATTAAGTTATCACAATATTAACATCCATAATTGTACAATTTAAAACACTGAACACCATCAACATAATAGGGAAATAGATAACAATGCTTACAGGAAATATTTTGCAAAAATAGGACAAATCTCAACAACATATTTAGTTTAGTCATATTATAACATAATATCTAACTTCAACTTAAAACTACAACTTAAATGTGGAGAGCCAAAACAAATGAATCACGGCCTATGACAAACGTAATCTCGCCATATGCTAGATGCTATAGAGTCCCTAATAATTGCTCCTTGTGTAGCATCGTCATCATCGGTACTTGTGTCATAAGTATCATCAATGTGCACCTCATTATGCATGAGCTCCCGATCAACCTCGACAATCAACCTTTCATTAGGATCGACTCCCATAAGATAATTATGTAGAATACAACAAGCTAGAACAATTTTAGTAACAGTATTCACTGGATAACAAGCTTCTGCACCACTCCCAATAATGGGAAACTTCTTCTTTAGCACTCCAAATGCTCTCTCAATTACGTTGCGTAGGGAAGAATGCCGATGATTAAATATTTCTTGAGCATTTTCTAGCGCACGGGAGGAGTATTCTTTCAAGTGATAACACACACCCCTATATGGAGTAATAAGTCCACTTCTTAACATGTAACCTCCATCCACAAGATAAAATTTTCCTAGAGAATAAGAAAATATTTAGTAAGAGATTTAATGAAAAGATTAATTTCTCAAATCTTATATGTTCATAAACCAAAATACTTTGAGGAATTATAAGTCTATCTTCTCTACTTAAAGCATTTTTTAATATTCTTGAATCAGATACAGTCCCTTCCCATCCTGGCAAAATATATGTAAATATCATATCAAAAGAACATGCAGCCAATACATTTTGCGTTGGAAAATTTTTTCTTCCTCGATATCTTGGGGCTTCAACTTCAGATACTGTCACACGTATGTGTGTTCCATCGATTGCACCTACACAATCCTGAAACATATGAACTTTTTTTAGAATTTGTTGTATTAAAATTGATATTCTCACAAGGAGAAAGGAAATATTATATTCACCTTGAAGAAGGGATAAAATCTGTTATTAGTCAATATTGGCAGAGGGACCTCCGACCCGGTAGGTTGTTTCAAAAAATGATCTTCCAAAGTGATAATAGCTTTCAACACATCATGGAAGTGGCGACTTACTGTCTCACCAGATCGACGAAAAAAGAATTGCATTTCCCGGTTTGTCACCTTATGAGCAAGTAAATAAAGAAACTTAACCAATTGTTCCTTTGCAAGAGCATTCTTGTTATCATGGAGACGACCTGTGCCTCGGAGTAACTCACACAACCGAGCAAATGCATATGGACTCATGCGTGTAATATCACGACATTTGTCATTATAAGTGAGTTGTGTCATGAGTTCCTGCCTTACACTCTCTCTTTCTCCACTACTTTGGGCAATTGACCTATCCACGTAGCATGAATGATACATCGTTCCAATCAAGTAGAGTACATGGACTACATAACAAACAACTTGAACCGCAGCCATGCGTCGCCTTTGTTCCCAAATATTTAAAAGTTGCATAAGATTGTCCTCACAATTATCTTCCCTATTATCTCCCAAATTTCTTTCCCAAGTTTCTTCCCAACTCTCTTCCCTATCCATCTACTAAACATATGGTAACAAAGCAAATAATTAGTCATTAGAAATACATTAAATCTCATAGTTATTATAACTATTAAAATTTTAGGGAAAAATGATTATAACATTTAATGAAAGCCAAATGGAAACACAGAAAGCTCCAAAAAAGCTCAAATTTGATAATCAAGTAAAAAAATAATTAAGCTTATTTAAGTCTTACTAATAGCAATACGAGTCATTATTCAACAACACAACATCCATTCCCAATTAAAGAATAGGCATGAAACTTACATGAATCAAGAAAAAAAGGAATCAAATAACAATATCAGTTGTTATTCACCAACACAACATTTATACCCAATTAAATAATAGGCTTGAAAGGTACATGAATTAGTCTATTACAAATACAACAAAGCACACAATAAATTTGACATAATAAAACGTAAGGAGTAGAGGAGGAATTCTTTTATCCATCTACAATATTTCTGTAAAATAGGCATGATAAAAACATGTGAAATTTTTATCCAAATTTATATTCATGTTGTTCGAATGAAATACAATTGACCTAATATTACAATGTTTCACAACTAAATAATACTATTGAGACCTAAAAAATGACCTTAAACACTGGCCACATAAATGGGTAAAGATACATTAGCCTGGTAGCCCTTACAATTCAAGATAGTTATTCAAATTGAATTAGTGGAAATCTACTACATGAAGGACTTGAACAATAGCAAAGCATTTCTCATTTTACATCATTGGTACACACATTATCGCAAACATAGAAAATATGCCTCAATACTGAAAATCAAAAGAGCAATTCATTTCAGCTATTTGCATTTAATAAAAATCCTAGTCTCAGATTTAGCCATAGAACACTAAGATGCAGCCAATTGATTAAACCACCTAAAATCAATATCACAAGTAGTAATAATTGACCTATTTCTATAAATTAGGTATGATAAAAAATGTGAAATTTGTAGTTGACATCCATTTTTTCGGTAAATCCCTTTCTCCATTTTGGACTAAGCCAACAAAAAACCACTTGAGTTGATGTCCATAGCATTGGAGCAGACCCCAAAGTTAACCTTTCCTTGCCTAATTAAACCCTAAAACTCTACACCTTTGACATTCCTAACGCCCCATATCCTCACCAAAATGGAAGCCACAAAACAAAGCCACCGACAGTCAACCTCAAATGACCCCCTCTTACCAACTATCCTACGTCAATTTGGGCACCGTAACTTCTATTGGCACAAAAGATAGAGAGAGAGACCGATGTAAATGATTTAAATCGCAAAAAATGGAGGATAATGACAAAACCTACATGAGGATGCAAACTTTGGCCTTGTATGTCGATTTTTCAGTCCATCGGATACCTCGTCGTCCAACCTCGTCTTGTCGTCCACCCTCGTCTTGGAAGAGTTTACAGATAATAGATTGCAAGTGGGTATTGAAGTAGGATCTTAAGAAGTGTATCAAGGATAAAAATGTCAAAATAGCCAAAATAGCAACTATCAGCTTTCCGTCCACTTTTGGGGGAAAAAATTTTCGTGGGCGGGAAAGATAGTCTTTCCCTCAAAATTTTCTTTCCCTCCTTTTTTCCATTCATACCAAACAGTGGAAATTCTTTCCATCCTCTCCATTTTCCACCCACTATTTTCCATCCATCCAACTTCCCTTCCAACCAAACACAGGGTAGGTGAGGAACCGGTCAGCTGAAATGTGTAAGGTAGTTGAAGCAAAGAGGAGAGAGAGAAGAAGATGCCCAGAGAACAACCCAAAAATAGAAGTCCGAGGAAGAGGGAAGCTCCGCTCCTAAGCTTTGCTTTTCTTCTGCAATCGAAATGATAGTAAACCTACTACTCTACCATCCTCTGCGTTTTTTCTATCACCTCGCCTCTAACTTCTAGCTTTGTGCTCTCGTGTCAGGATTCAAGCAATTCATGATGGACGATGAGGTAAATTTTAGCCCTTATTTTATCGTTATATATCAGCAATAAATTCGTTTGTTGGGTAGTATTGGTTTTTTTTTCTTCTGTATGATGACAAATTTGTTATGAAATTATAACTCGATATGATAAAATTGCGACAAAATGAGGTTGTTTGGAATCGATATTTATATCTAGAATTGTTCCTTCTTGCAAGTAATCCTTTCGAGTCATAAACAAGATGTCACTAAACTAATCCTTATTTAGTTGTAAATTTTGATACGGTACCGAACTCATATAACTTAGATCCTTTGTTTTTTGTATGTTATGATGAACGATGAGGTAAATTTTAGCTCTGATTTATGGTTCTTTATATATATTTTTTTCTCTTTTTTAATTTTTTTTTAGGAGGGGAAGGGGGAGGGATAGGGAGAAGGGCTTGAACCCTTGACTTAAGAAGATAAAGCTTTCACAAAGTAGGAGTATCTTTGGACCAAAGATCCATTGGTTATGGTTATTTATAAATTATGAATTTGCGTGCTATATAGTGCCCAAAATAGCTGCTAGCAATTAGCAATTGATTTTTCTGATTCTGTTTCTGAATCTGAACTGAAACCACTGCCTTCTGCTACTACTAAATTACTTTTTCTCAATAGATGGGGGATCAAATTGAAGGCCCTATGTACACAGTAGATGACGCACTTGTTTCGATGGGGTTTGGAAAGTTCCAACTTCTTGTGTTTGCTTATGCCGGACTGGGTTCAAGTGTAGAGGCAATGGAGGTGATGATTCTCTCTTTTATAGGACCGTCAGTGAAGTCCGAGTGGGAACTCTCTTCTACTGAAGAGAGCCTGATAACAACAGTGGTTTTTGCTGGTATGCTAATAGGAGCATATTCATGGGGACTCATATCAGATAACTACGGAAGAAGGCAAGACCTTCTGTCATTAGATAAATGATTTATATGTAACTCACAGGAAAAAAATCTTAAATTTATATTCCAAGATTTATCTAGTTCCCCAGAGTTTTTTGCTTTAGTTCCGACATTTTTCGTTGTTATCCAACTCTATATCTGCTTGGGAATTGAAGCACCGAAAGTCAACATGTGAAATTCTCACTTGTTGAGCACATGCTTCGACCCACTTGCCATTACTCATGGTACCTTATTTGTTGGTTGATTCGGTTCATGCCTTCCCTTTGTAACAAATTGAACCATCTTAGTGTCTATCAGATAGTTTCTTGTCAAAGAGAATTTTGTCTTTAATCTCTCAACTTGAACAACACTTATTTCACTTTTGTTTTTAGATATCCTGTTAGATTTTCATTATACGTCAAATGTTTTATAAACAAGTTATTATTGTGTGTCTTAGACTTCCACTTTGTAACATGTTGGTCTTCGTATTGTCATGTTGTAGCCGGTGTTCATCCTATCTTTTCGTAGTTATTGCAAAGCACTTTTAATCTCCCAATCCAAACATGTCCTCTTTGGTAACAAACCCTGTGGGTATCACTGCTTATTCAACCAACTGAACTTAATTAAGCATTGCCCCAATTATTTGGGATTGGTTGCATTAGTTCTGCTTCATCATTGTGTTCGATTATCATAACATCCATTTTGTCCTCATTAATGGGGTCTAAGAGGAGTAGATTGGGTACCGATCTAATGTTTGACATTATTTGCACAAAGTGACTGCCCACCAATTTAAACCCACAATGAAAGTTATTTGGTCAAATATTAACTACTGAACAGGTGGCCCTTGAACAACTGAATCGTTGTGCTCTATCAAAGGTCATATTCTTTATATTGTACAGATTTTCATACATTCGATGAAGTCATGGTGCAATCCATTAAATGCTCAAAAAAACACAAATTCAAAGATGTGAAGGACAATGAAATTGGCTTGCCATTAAGACAAAATTGCATTATTATATTTGATTCTTATTTTGAGTTAGTTTGAGTCACTTTGCTGGAATTAGTAATTTATGTGTCCTTTTAATATATTTTAGAGTCAAAGGGTATTCTCATAATTTTCAGATTTATTGGAACAGGTTATTGTATAATTTGTGGGCTGTCTTTTTGGTGAAAGTATGGTATTCGGTCTTAAAGTTCTAAAGTTTAGAGTTCTAGTTCTAATCTATATTAATTTCCTAATCTATATGTAATTGGGAGTCATTAGAGTCTTAGGGTCTATGGAGTCTTAGAGTCTTTGGTGCTCTAATCCTTTTGGCATTAGAGAATACCTAGCAGTCTATATATAGAGATGTAACTGTTTAATGTAGTTGGGAGAGATATTTTGAGAAAATTGCAGTAGGCTTTTGAGTTGTGTGATGCATTCTAACCCTGAGTATGATGCCTAAGGGACCCTAGGTGTAATGCCTAGTTTTCTTCTTCTCTTCTTTGTTTGCATTATTTTAATTTTTCTACAATTATTCAAGTTCTAAACTCAAAAATAACCTTAAAAGTGGTCTACAAAACCTATCCCTTTTCTAAACAATCCATCAAACTCTAACCCACAAAATAACACGTCCAACCCCACTTTTACTGTTCATGGTACTTTTCACAGCCCCATAAATAGTGCTGATTTTTCAGGTTTACCTCTGTTCTACTTCAGTTTTGGTATGAGAGTAAAGGTCCTATGTTTTGTGAGTTGAATATTGACATATAATGATAGAAATCCAAGATTTTGATGGAATGGATGACCCTACAATTTTCTCTAGTTGACTTGCTTCTATTGAAAACTACTTTGTTAAGTATAATTTCTTGAAGAAGAAGGGAGTGTGGTATCCCAAAATGAAACTCGTATCATGGGCACAAATTTGGTGTTGAAGAATATTTAAAAAGATCGGGATTGCCATTACTTAACACATGAAAAGAGAAGAAGAGAATTAGAAAGCACTCCTAGGGTTCTTTTTGCATCACACCTAGGGTTAGAATTGCATCCCATAACTTAAAAGCATATAATTGTTGCAATTTTCTGAAAGTATATCTCCCCCACTAAATTAGACCATTACATCTCCATATATAGACTTACCTAATCCCAAAAGGATTAGGACACCAAAGACTCTAATAGTATGTTTGGTAGGATGGATGGAAAGTGGGAGTAATACTCTTTCTATTCATTAAGTGGGAAATCTTTCATTTTCTCATTTGTGTGTGATAAAAGGGATGGAAAGTAGGAATGATTGATTTTTTTTTCTTTTTTTGGTGTTTGGTAGGACAAAAAACTGAAAAGATGGAAAAAGTATCGATGCATAGTTTACCATTGTATCTACTTATAAAATTATTGTGTAAAAAATATGTAATAGATAAATAGGATATATGCATATAGTAAAGGATATAAAGGTAAGTAACATACATTTCAATACATAATTAACTTTTCATCTATTTTTTCTGTTAATTTTGGAGGGCTAGATTTTGGTAAGTTGAAATGAAGGCTAATCCATTCACATTTTCAACCTTCTTATTTTTCTTCCTTATCAAATATGATATTTTATCTATCTTTCTAACTTTCTATTCTTTTTTGACCAAAAAATAATAAACTTTCCATCCTTCTATTTTGCCATCATACCAAATAAAGCACAACACTCTAAAGACTTCCAATTACATATAGATTAGGAAACTAATATAGGATAGAACTAGGACACTAAATTCTATAACTTTTAAGACCCAATACCATACTTTGACCCAAAAGATTGACCCACACAAATCTAAAAATTATGAAAATACCCTTGACTCTAAAAAATATTAAAAGGACACATAAAATAATAATACCCACAAAGTGACTCAAACTAACTCAATAAAACTCAAATATAATAATGTATATTTCATATGGATCTTTGTCTCGATGGCAAATCAACTCTATTAAATGCTCAAGGAAGATGTGAAGAACGATGAAATTGGATTGCAATCACCACAACGATCCATTGAGAACCTTGCACTATTATAGTTGAGTCTTATTTTAAATTAGTTTGTGTCACTTTGCTGGCGTTATTCCTATTTTATGTGTCCTTTTAATATCTTTTAGAGTCAACTTGTATGCAGGAACATGTTGTGATATGACCCATGGGTTGTCTTTTGACTCAAAGTGTGGTATGGGGTTTTAAAGTTCTAGAGTTATTAGTTTCATTAACCATATGTAATTGGGAGTCTTAGAGTCTATGGAGTCCTAGAGTCTTTGGTGACCTAATCTTTTTGGGATTAGGTAATGCTTGGAAGTCTATATATAAAGATGTAATGGTTTAATTTACTGGGGAGAGATATATTCGTAAAATTGCAGTAATTATATGCTTTTGAGGCTAAAGAACACTAGGAGTGATTCCTAGTTCTCTTCTTCTCTTTTTTGTCCACTTTCTTCTATTTTTCTATAATTATTCAAGTTCTAAATCCCATAATCAGATGTGAAATATTATTCTTTATATCCAAAAGTGTTCTACAAAACTCTTATCCCTTTTCCAAACATCCAACCCAGATTTTACTATTCACGGTACTGTTTACCGCCCATTAAATAGTGCTGATTTTTTGGATTCACCGCTATCCTACATCTTGTTCATACTTTCTAATTGGAAAATGCTCCACAAACTAAAAAAAATCTTTAACAAGAAATCTCGTATGTAATAATGTGTCGGTGATATTTTTGTTAATATCATTAGTTTGGTGGTTCTTGGTTAACTACTAAGCCTACCTGGTCAATCATGGTAGTGGTAACCTTGTTTCATTGTTATATGGGCGTCAAGGGTTCGAGTCGCTAGAACAATCTTTCTGCATGTGAGCGTAAGGCTGCACATGTCTAACTCTATCCTTGACTCTTCAATTGGGCGAGTCTCGTGCACGGACCGCCCTTTTCTAGTAATACTATCTCATTTTTGTGTAGAAATTTCTGCTTGGCATTTCTGTTTGTGTTGTATTAGTCATTGTGATTTTTTAGATATATGCATGTAATGTGTTTGTTCAAGACTTCTGCATGTTAACCTCAAACTCTTTGTTAGATTTTTGAAATTCATGATGCTTTTGATTTCATTTGTCTTCATCAGGATGGGTCTTCTGAGCATAGCTATAGTGACCAGTGGAGCTTCATTTCTAAGTACATTCTCCCCAAATTATATATCATTGCTCATTTTTCGCTGTGTGGTTGGCATTGGTCTGGGTGGTGGGCCTGTGTATTCATTATGGTTTCTAGAGTTTGTTCCTGCTCCAAAAAGAGGCACTTGGATGGCTATTTTTTCTACTTCTTGGACAGTTGGGACAATACTTGAGGCTTCACTTGCATGGGTATATCTTTCATTTCCTTAAAACATCTATTGCCTGCAAAGTAATTTTGCTAATGGCATTTCTTTGTTTATTTTATACTTGCTGCCACTTGCTTAAAGCTTGAAGCTAATGTAGGTTTCATTTAAGATGCAAATAGAAGTGGTTGCCTAAGCATCATTTGGGTAATGAAGATTGTTATTCTCATCATCCATTTTATCTCAAAATCTTCTGTCCAGTGTTGTTATCCATAAAAGGATCATAATTTGATAGAAAATAAATGATTCTAGGGGTTTTTCTTTGGCGATTTAGGTTTCTTTCATTCGTCTTCTCCTTTATCTAGGCAAGGAGTGAAAAGGTTATTCCTAGTTTTGATAGCTTTTGTAGTCCCAATGCAAATTCAGAGAGTGAAATGAATAGAAGACTTTCTTCTCATAGAGGAATATTTAACTTTTGGCTTTTGGTTACCATTTAATATTCACTGGTTTACTTTTCATTCTTGTCCTTCAATAGTGCTAGTAGTGTTTGTTCCAATGTTATGTAGATCGTGGTGTGATTTGACACATAATATGATGACGGGTACATATTATGATACTTCCTCCAATACGCGATAGGATCGCAAACCAATGGATGTGAACAATATAATCTAATGGTTGCATAGTGGTATAATGAAAAAAACTAACACAAGTGGGAATAAAATTTCCCCTTGTTCAG